AAATACACAAGAACAATTAGAGGGAAAACTTGGATGTTCTGATTTCTGAAGTACTGCAAGATTTTATGTTACAACATACACTGCAAAAGTCAAACAACTATTTTGCTTTGGGTTTTTTTTTTTTTCTCATGTGGGAAGAAAACAAGAATCAAGTTTGTTCTGTCCGCAGTGGATCTTTCTACTAAAGTAGAAAAGTTTCTATTGCCCGCCCAGAAGCTGAGTGAGAATGGCCCGATGGCAGTGATAGGTTTACAGCGGAAGAAAACTACATGAACTGGATAAAGAAAAGAAAAAAGGTACAAATTGAGGGAAGACAACTGCAGAGATATTGTGATTTTTGTTCTTGCTCAGTGTTTGAAAATAAAAGCTGTTAGTTTCAACCTCGAAAGCATCACGGTCGTAGACGACCTCTCTTTCTCCCCACTTCTCGTGCAGTCAGAGTCTGCAAATGTTTAAACGCCGGGGTAAATAAGGGCATCGTTTGTGGAGTCATGCTTACAGAGTGTTTAAAAAAGGAGAGATGACTGTGGTTAAGCACTGGAGGCTGTGAGGTAATGCTGTACGAAGCGCTGCTCAGAATCCTAATAAAAATGCACCATCAGAGGAAGACATGCCGGAACAATGAGCCAAAATGATAGTATCAATATATCACTTGCACTGCAGTGATTATAGCTGCGCGGTCCAGCTTTGTGCCGAAACAAACCCAAAGGCACCGCAGAGTGTGGTCCAGAGATCCTACTTGCTGACACGACGTACTTAAAATGGTACAATGGATATCATGTAAGGCTGGATGTTGTTCAGCTGATGCCGGTTCAAAGTTTCCTAAGAGCAGTATCATGCGCTGATGCGCCTTTCAGCACGTGCATGTCTGAAGCATTCCTGGGTGACTGCCAGACCGGTTCTTTGCTGGGGAACCACTGTGTGGGTGCAGTGGAACCATTAGTCAGTGGTTAGTACTGGTCTGTATCACTGCACTTAACTTGACTCATGTCTTCCACACAGCAGTGGTCGAAAAATGCTGTAACAAAAACCTGAATGCTTGTTTGTTTTTTCTACTAATGTTGCTTCTGTACTCTCTGTGCTGCTGCATATATATATAATATATAATATTTATTGACACTGGGTAGCAAGCTCTGCCCCGAAAATCAGCAGTACCAAAAAACAAAAAATATAAAAAATTCATCACCTCTAACCTGGCTGTGGAAGAGGTTTTAAATGAAACTTCTGCTGCCTTGACGAGCAGCAACAGGCTGAGGCTGTGTGAAAAACACAACTTGAATCTAATATTTGTAGTGTCTTTCTGGGTGCACAGCAGCATTGCTTAGCTCCTAATGGGCACCCTTGTGATGTGTCAGTGTACAGAGTTTTCTGCAAGATATGACACAGTCAAAAACAGCAGAGCTCATTAGGCGGCTGTATCAGAGGCAAGGACTCGGTAGTGAGGAGGCACTGCTCGTTTCCCACAGACTGCTATGTCAAAGGCTGCACGTAACCCGGCCGGTGAAGGAGGGACAGGGAGGCCTCTGTGCCGCACATCAAAACAGCTGGAGTGACTGATAGGGTACCTCTCCTGCAGGCATCTGTGGTATGCACTGTACACAAGTCCCGCCATTGTGTGAAGGGCCACGTTTTGGATTAGCAAACATGGATTTCAATTCCGATAAATCCTCTGATGTTTCTGCTCTGATCCGGCGACACTGCTGCGAGGTAACGTGGTGCTAATGGTGACGCTAATGCTGATGACAACTGCTACTGCTAGCCGGCATTCGTCATTAATAATGAAACGTTACTTCACGCGGCTGTAGGTTTGTAGAAAATAAAAAAATAGATCAGAGGCTGTACATCATGCCAGTCGTTCTAGATGAAACAATACTTCTGCTCTCGTTCGCTGAACAGATCAAAGTGATTCGTGCACACACACACACACGCATGCATGCATGCAGCCAATGTAGAATGAAGGACAGGCTGTACCTCTCAGGCCTGGACAGTTGCATAACCCAGCATTCGGATGCATGACCAATGATGGCAATGACCATCAACTGCAGCCTGTGGCACTGCAATTCATCAATAATGATCCAACAATGGTTGGTGCCGATAGGCTAATGATTGTAGCCGCAGGTTGTCGGGTTAGAATAGTTGGACTGCTGTCCATGTAACTAGGCCACTAAATACATGGCCACAGTGACTGCTGATGGGACAAGGTGTACTGTATACACACTATATGTGCGCATCAGATTGTCTAATTGAAAGTTCTTGTTGACTGAACTACTGGTCGATTGTATATAAAGAAAAAGTCTCTCACTTTAACCTCAAATCAGTCAACACCATGAACAGACGACTAATAGTGTGGTCGCGACAGCTATCTGACAACACAGGGACTGACGACTAACTCATAGTTTGTGCATTTGGTGATGGACATTGAGACTGCCATCTTGTGAATGTATGTGGCAACAGACGTTTACATTCATCACATGTGATTTTCCACTTTGTTCTCTTTTATGCAATTTTCTGCTTTATAGACCATTGATCTGTCAATCAGATGTTGACAAAAGCTGCTGTTGAAAAGGCTATTGACGCTTTTATTTATCCAATGTCAACGCAGCCACAGCTGCTGCTGCTCTGGTAGTGAAAAAGATGAAGAAAATACTCCACATGTGTCACTGCGACTTCAGACGGGGGAGCAGTTTCTACTGAATGTACTAACTCTATATTTGTTCATTTGCTGATAGAATAGTGTTCCTTCACTCCCTTTGGCATGTGCAGTTTAAGGCAGGAGCATGGATTCAATTTCAAATTATTTCTGAATAACATTAAACTTCAAACTATGCTTTCTTTGAAACAATTAACACATGGTGGGACAATGACTCACTCTGGCCAGCAGCATGAACCTATTTAGCCAGGGAACTATGAGACGGCCACGCCTACTCCACCTCCCAGGGACTGGGTTGGAAACCAAATTGAAATATATATCTTGAATTCAATAATAAAAGACTTCCATATAACCACATGTTGAATAAAAGGGCTATACTTTAGTACTTGTAGTCAAAATTTGTACTTAATATATAATAATAGAAATATATACAGCAAAGACAACGTCAAAAATCAACTCTCTGTAACTCTCTCAAACTTTAAATTTAGACATGGTCTAAGCTGGGTTTTTCTTACTCCATAGTCGGGTGTCTAATTATCGAAGAAATTTGACTTAATTCCCGTCATGACCGTGGGTACCAACCCACACTCTGTTTCCAGGAATAATGTGACTTCAATCAGCGGATTAAAAAAATCCTGCCAGCAGGTTGCTACATTTTAATGTAAAATCTCTCCTTGTGTGATATGCCTCTGCTCAGACAGTAAAACTATTCTTTGGTTATTTTCACCCAGTACTGAGAAAGTCTCTTGGTGTTAGAAGTAGAAATAGGAATTGTATGTAAAGTAAGAAGTTGAAATAATATACTATGTCATCCATCATTCTCAAATCATTTTTCAAGTGAATCGAGAGCATGTTGATGAAAAAGATAAGGCTGGACTGTGACAAAAATGAGCATCTGTTAAAGGCTGTGAGCTGGCAGGTGTTAGAATCCACGTCCCAAAAGCTTCAAATATAAAACACAGACCGTGGAGAGCTCGGTTCCTGATTCAGCAAAAAAAAGAAAACTCAATCAGTAACCTGGGCGATCCATGAGAGTCGCAACTTTAACAAACAACTGAGACATAATCTAGTGTGGAGGTGAATACCAGTGGTTGAAAACCTTCTCAGTGACCTGTTTTATTAATGCAGTCCCAGAACACTGAACATTAGACTCCTGTGTGTGTTTTCTCGGGGCATAACTGGCCCATTAGAGTCACCCCGATGCACTTCATATATTTGCCATTCAAAACAAGTTGAGTTTGCACTCCTTGACCATGCATATTTTTATGACAATGTTTTCACTGCCATTGTTGTGGTACATTTTAAAAATTCCAAATATTCCACACAAGTAGAGCTGAAGCAGCGAGGGGGTTTCATTCAGTGAATTCCCAACATTCCATTCTCTCTTTTTCTGGTATGAATGTGCTATATAAAACACACACACACACATGTAATATATGCAAAAGCATGAGAGAGAGAAAGAGAGAGAGAGAGAGAGAGAGAGAGAAGAAAGAGAACACATTTAAACAAACAGCGTTCATGTAAATGAAGCCCTGTGAGGCAGATTTACTACATTCTCTGTCAACCTGCCAAACTGCTTATTTAAGAACACACGTTTCACATACGGCAAAATACATTATGTGTGTGTGCGTGCGTGTGTGCGGGTACCACTTACAGAGTGCTCATTTGTTTGGAATGCACATAAATTCTGGCTTTTTTACTGTCTGGGGAACAGGTGGTCAAACGATTAAGGTACCAACAAAAACACCCAGCTGAGACATGATGAAGAACCAGGCCACAATAGAACCAGAGGCAACGACGTGAAGTCTTCCAAAGAAACCTGAAAAGCCTTGAATAGTCAGCATTAAATAAAGGTCCAGCCCACTGTTTTAATATCTGTTAGCAGTGACTAACAAATAGGGTTCTCTTTGTGAGCTGTGTTATTTTACCAAGGTCAACTTAAGAACAGAGTGAATAGACAGAAAAGACACAGCGGTACATATGCTTGTCAAAAACATGTCATGATTCTTTTCCTCCATCATCCTTACAGGAATACAATACAGTAAAGGGTGGTAAATGGTGTGGTATTTTCCTTTACCTGTTCCATCCAAAGAGCAAAGGAGCGCTGCCAGGAGTCTTTCTTCTCTAGATGCAGGTATGTGTTGAATAGGATGAGGTAAATGTAACGCTCAAGGAATTGGAGGCTTTTCAACAGCAGCTGCTGACATTCTCTATCGCTCTTCCCACTTTTTATCTGGAGACAACACAAGAAAACAAAAGTGCACTGTTATATGAGGTCCACTAGGCCGGCAGTAAAAAGCAAGTTATGAAGTGTCTTCACTGTTTCTGAATTTAGCTTAAACACACACACACACACACACACATATATATATATATACACACACGGCCATCTCCCAACCCTTTCTCTTTTGTCAATTAATTAAAGAAAGAAGAATCAGTTTTTAATCATCCATAAATGAATAATTATTGCTCAAATGAAATACACACCCACACCCAATATGTAGCCGTGTATCACAGTGATTTAATACCATTTCAAACACTTGTGAGTTGAGCTAACCATTAGCGATTCAAATGGCTAGATGCAATCTGCATTCTGTTACTCTCTGATGACAATAAATTGAATTCAATCTGATCTGATCTACAAGGTTAACTCAGAGGCAGCGTGAAGTGAAACATTCCTGAGCACCAGCCTTTGTCTGAGCCTTTCAGGCAAATGTTTTCACTATGCAGCATTTCAGGAAAATCAGTTATTGTCTGTCGCAGAAACATAAACAACAGGACGGCCCACCACTCAAAGTGGTTTACAGTGCACATCTAGCAACATAACACAATGTTTCCAGGGTCAAGTCAATAGAGGGGTTTGTTTGCAGCGGTATAAGTAAGTGGGGTTTCCTGTCCTTCCCCATGCGGCCATGGTTGGATCCCAGTTTCTCTAGCATCTGTATCAGAGAGTGGGGCGGATTTTTCACCTTGGCAAACAAAGACCGTGCTGTTTGTTGTGCGTCAATTCTCAAAACGCGATGAGGAAGAAAGATTTTCATGCACGCACTTAATTGTCTCAGTGAAGGCTGACCGCAGCGGACGGACAGCCAAATGCTGTGAACCTGATCTCCCTGTGCACCCTGCACCCCCAGGGGTCTTTGAGCATTAGACATAGTAGGCCTGAGAGCCCACAGTACCAAAGCCTTGCAGCTATCTGTGAAAAAAGCTCGACTTGAGCTCTTTTTCTCTCTCTCTCTCTGAAACACATGCACACGCTCAGATCAGTGTGCAAAGATTACATAATTCACACCTCGACAATGTGCTGAAGCCTAATTCTGTGGTTACTTTCTGTCTGCCTACACGGACTGAACCATATGTGCGGTTGAAGGGCCTCTGTGCACTCTCCGAAATTCCACCGGAAAACAATGTTGGGGAAGATGTGGTAAAGGAACGGAGTAAATCTCTTTCATTCCAGTCCATGTGCACGAACACAAGTTTGGAAGCTGCGCTTATAATTACAAACACTTCACAAGGAAGGCTAAAGGAGCACTTTAAAAAAAAAAAACGATTTAGGTTTTTACTCTACCAGAGGATATTCTTGTACTCATTAGGAGAGAATCTGACATATGTGAACAGACAAAAGGTGTCAACCTTCCTAATAAAAATGGAAAATGAAAAAGATTTTATCACTGCACTTCTACATATAAGAGCTCAGACCATGTCTCCATGCCATGTCTATTTTAATTTGAATCCTTTTATTAGAAACATAATTCCAAGGGAATATGCCAACACATCAGCTCTGCACTGTTGGTGACTGGAGCTCTTGTCCTAATGTGAACCAGCCAGATAAACAGAGCCGTTATCTCACATTGATTCCAGCCAAGTGTAGCAGTCACTTGTTTGTATGTGAACAGTAAGAGTTTCACAATACAGCCTTATTACATAGCACCATATGTGATCTAGCCACCTAGAGCTCAAACCAACGCCTTGGGCCAAAGATAAACACCTAGCAAGGTAATAAAACTTTTACAAGTCATTTATTTATCCATAAAAAACTCTTTCTAGGTTTTATGGACAGCTGTAAGCTCCGCTACTTTTTAGACAGGAGTAGCACCTGTTGAGTCCGGCAGCAACTTCTTCTCTATCGTCTGATGGAAAAAAGGCCAAGTTGTACATGCAGTGTCCCCTAGTGGTCCAGCACAGATATAATGGTGTTATTCCAGCTCCAATACCACTGTAAATACCATACCAATATAAAGCTGCAGCAGAAATTCTGCATGCAATCTGCTGTTGCAAAACGAGAACATAACAGAAAAAGAAATAAGGCAAGAGAGAAACACCAGGTAGAGTTTTGTTAAGTCATTTTAAACAGTATACATATTCCCAGAAGGATGTAAAGTCAGGTCTTACTATGTAAAATCTGGAAATTACGGTAAGTCGACTGCTGTCTGTCCACAGCAACTCAATAAATTCAGGAGAAAACAACTGCCTTAGGTAAAAAAAAAAAAAAATCAATGAATGAATGAGCCTGTACCAAGAGTGAACAATTCAACACAAAAATATATCAGGAAGAAAAGCGTCGCCCAACGGTGCCATTATCTGGGTGTGATTTAACAGTGTGATAGTGTTGTTTGATACAGGAGTCAGAAACAAGGCCATAAATAGAAGCTGTTGGGATTCATAAAAAACTTGTTTTCAGGGTTTTAGCTAAGAACTTTCCAAGGCCAGACACCAAACGATGGGCATGTCAGTCAATTGATGTTGATCAACGTATCAGACGTGCTGCTCCACGGGGTCCTAAATTAACACACCACTCCTGTCCATCTTAGTCTGTGAAGGTGAGAGCTGCCAGCACATATTAACTCAAGACATGGAATACTAAAAGATATTTCTGAGGTTTGTCAGAACTGACAGTACTGACCAGTCATTCGGAAAATATTAATGTTGGAAAACAAGCCTTGAGGGCTTGCCGCTGGTGTTTTAGCCTCCACTAGCTTCAAATACATTTCTAACCATCGATGGATCCTAAGCTGTTTTTTTTTTTTTTGTTTTTTTTTTGAAGTAAGAATATCTTTTCTAAGGCTTTCAGGCTACATAAGCCACTTAGCAATTGTTGGCTTTGGTGGGATTGATTTGTGATGTCTGTGACATTTCCCACTGCGGTGTGATAAACACCACCAGCAATTTATGTCCATCTTAATGTGTGAATTGAAGTGGTAACCTACTGAGCCGAGTAGCTGAAGCCTGCAGGGGAATTCATATTATCAGAGTCACTTAAAGGTTGTTTTTTCTTTCAAATGAGTGGGATAAGCATGGACCGACCTCTGGAGGATTTATTCCTGGTGACTTCACCTCTTCACATCACATCACACGACCGATCAGCTGGGTTTTTAGTAAAGCATATTTATTTTAACGTTCTAACATATAAACACAACTTTTTAAGCATGTGACAACATAACAGTCTATGAAAATGTTTTTTTCACAAATTAAAAAAAAAAAGGTGGTTTGGCTTATTTGCCAAAGTCCTTTAAAAGCTATGAGATACACGTATGCTAGATATCACAGTTGAATCTCATAATATTAGCAGAGCCGTGTTAAGATCAACCTCGTCCTGTGGAGTGTACGCTACGGACAGCTCCGTCTGCTTGACACATGGTGCCAATTACCAGCTGTTGGGTTTTGCCGAGGTAAAAAGGCCAATCCATATTGGCCTTTCCCACCCAGGTTTGCACAAGCAGCCATTCATCAGACACTACGAGAGCGCCTCCCACCCAAACTCTAAACTAAACTCCAACTTGTCTTCAGTGGACAGGCTGCCTAAACACATGGCCGTTCGAATCAATGTACAGACAACTCACACTCAAGTATGGATGTTGATTTTTTTTTTTTTTTACATAGGATTGAAGGCACATTTTCTTCCTTCTTTCCATTTAGTTTTCTTTGTAAAAATAAATAAATAAATCAACTCATTGCTAACGTATATATGTATAAGAGTCCAAAATTTAAACTCCAAAAATGATAAGACAGCAAAGGGATTAACTAAATATTTAAATATTCTAAAATATAAATTATTTAAATGAAAAGGAATCACATTTAAAGACACACGACTCGTACATGTCAACCTGTCATTTTACTGTTAAGGAGATGGAGCAGAAGAAGAAGAAGAGGGAGAAGAAGAAACTGGAAGGCATGAATAAGAAACAGGAAATAGAAGGAACAAAGAAAGGAATAAGAAGTAGAGGAGGAGAAAAAAGGAGGAAGAAATAGAAGATGCAGATATAGAAGGAGGAGGAAAAGAAAAAGGGAAGTAGGAGAAGGAGGAGATAAACAAGAAACGGAATAAGAATAACAAAATAAAGCATAGGAAGTAGAAGAGGAAAAGAAGGAGAGGAATAAGGAGTAGAAGAAGAAAAGGAGGAAGAAGAGGAGAAAAAAGGAGAACTAGCGACCACCTTTAGATGGCTCGAGGTTTTATTTTGTCTCCTTCTGTACAGAGTGGAGATGGTTGGTTTCTTAAAGATCAGCATTTTTCAAAATGTTCCAACCGACTAGCACCGGCCAAGTTCTAAGTCACTTAAATCACCTTCTTCCCCATTCCAGTGCTCGGTCTGAACTTCAGCGGCTCCTCTCAACCACTTCTTGATGCCATTATGCATTAAATAATTTGCCATTGTGGGCAGAGTGCATTAAAAGATGTTCTCCAATGTCTTCTGCCTTCTACTGGCATAACTGTAATCCAAAATATATATCATCTGGTTTGAAGCTGCAGACCTCATCTTTATGGGCCCAGATATTACCCAAAATCCCTCTTTCACAGAAGCAAAAGGAGCAGCCTAGCAGTCAGTGAGCGGAGAAGGAGATGCTTTTATGTTAATGGATTCCACAGATTCCAGTCATCTGTCTCCCTTTTTCCAGTCGCTCACTAATTAAATCATAAAGTCGAGATGAAGATGGATTTGGGGCAGGAGCTGTGTCAGTCAAACACTATACTTGTCTTTGTAAAACCAACTTCAACCACATCATCACAGTAACCTAACAGCTGTCATTCCCACCACATCATTAAAAAAAAGGATTATAAAAAGAAAGAAAAAAAAACAATAGACATATTCATGTTCACGCTTTGTACCTGAATGAGGAATCAGGATTGAGTTTGTGTGTGTTTCATGCACATTAGCTGAAGAACCAGTGAGCAGTACATTTTTGTATAGAATCTTAAAGGATATACTTAGCAGAAATAATACACACATAAAC